TACTCGGAATACTTAGAATACTTGCATGTAGAATACTCTGCTGTCTCTGCTTTGGCCCTTTTTCAAGTTCCATACCTGAATTCCCCTCCTTTCTCATCTTTCTTTTGACACTTTCTTTCTTGTTTTAAGCCTCGGTTTCTTTAGGCTTTTTTTTTCTCTGTTTTCTTTTTTTGATTTCTTGCTATAATCTTCTGAAGAAAACCTTACCCTATCCTGCAGGAGAGAGGGGAAAGCTGAGACTGGACGTCAGGGAAGTTTCGACTTGGAGTGAACATCAAAACCATTTCCATTCTTAGTCTCTCGAATCTACAAGGCGCTACTAGTACTTCTAGTGGTTTTTTTTCCTTTCCAGGGTGCCACTGACCACACATGCAGTGGTAGGCGACACTTCCTTCGAGGCTATTTTGTTTCATAAGTTGTGTGCCACCATCGGCCTACATCGATCGTTCCGGTTATCATTCTCATCGCGATTGGTGTCATTTTGGTTCCTTTTTTTGTCTCTCACACATCCATTCGGAATTTGGATATCGAAAAACGCCTTTGGCGTTATTCTCTCCAATATCCTTCGTGGTCTACCCACACGTTGCCGCCACTAATCCCTAGCTCGTCGAGAATCTGTAACTGAGATCTCGCTGCCATCTAATCTCCCCGCTCTGCCACATCGAGCATCTCGGCATTCAGCAGTGACCTGCTGGCTTTCAAGCGGGCTTTCGTCGTTGTCAATACCTCGGCCCGATTCTCCGTGAGCGTGTAACTTCATAGGTCCTCGTGTCAAGCCTAGAAAAATCCCTGGACGTTAGCACAAACCACTGGGATACCGCAGACACCCTGGCACTGAAACCATGCACCGGAGACCGTGACTGCTCGGGACTAATGCGAGATGGTAGCTTTCTAAGCTAGCTTCAATTCTTTTCCTTTTCCTTTTCGGCTTCACTGGCACTTGCAAATTGCTAAGAGTTGACTATTTCGAGCGCCAGTATTTCCATCAAAATCTCGCTGGAAACCTTTGTACAAATTTCTTTCCCTCATCATTCCTTCTCGCCATTCGCTTCTGAGCTTGGAACGTACACGATCGAACTATTTCGCTTTGCTGCCGCCTGATCCAAATTGGCTTTCTACTCAATTCTATCACTGTTCCTTGAAGACCGAAACGTTAAATTGGTATGTGACAAGCGCTTATGTCCCGGCAGAGGGGGATTGGAGAAATGAGCTCATTGCTAAATCGCCTGGCTTCTTTCAATAGATACCCCTTTTGTGCACTATCTTTCTGGGACCCGAACAATTCAACAGGAAGCCGATAATCAGCCAAAGACATCTCACCAACTCATTCCAGACCAAGTCCTTTCCTTCACACTATACCCATTCAAGGGTACGAAGCAACTGAATACACTTGTCACACTGGTTGTTGTCTGGGTCTGTTATGTAGACGGTCAAATTGTGTAAAACACTCTGACCTCCATATATCACCAACCGCCATGTCAACCCCCCAAGGATCAGGATCAGGATCAGGATCTGGCTCCGGTTCTGCTATAGGCTCACACTACTATGTTGGACCCTTCGGTCGTATGTTACCCACCACAGATGGCCCGTCCTCGGAGCAGCAACCCGAGCTTCCAGCTAATTTACAAGAATCCGGGGACAATCTATACCAGCTTCCACCCCCGCGTGTACCGACTAGTTTACAATTTGGATCTGATCCATTTCCACCGCAGAAAAGCAGTCCCGACGGCAAAGACAGCGGATCACAACACCAGAAGCCAGAGCAACTTCCCTCCGTGAGCCAAATACTCACTCCAACACCAGGTACCAATTCATCACAATATCCTCAACCATTTGCAAGTTCAACACCCAACACAGGGCGTCGTGAATCTGCATACCCGCCTCACTATCACGATCCGAATTTTCAGGTTTCGCCAACCTCTGTACATGATAGAGGCCGTGCCGAATCTCTGCCGCAACTGCATACTGGCCTGCCTTCATTGTCACAAGTGGCTTTACATGGCCACAGAGGTATAAGAAACCACACACCGACAAGAAGTGATCCATCCTCTGCATCCTATTCACACGGCCAGCTACCATTTCACACCACATCCTCACATGGTCAAGTACCAAGTGGGGAACTATCATCACCGGAAAGTGCAAACCGGTCAAGTAACCAGCCCCTCCGGCCTCATGTGGTAGATGAGCGAGTCATTGACGGGGAACTCTGCTTCGTATATGCAGACGGATCGTTCTGTCCCAAATTCATCGACGGTACACCCGTCAACGCAAATTGGGGCGTAACGAAGGCTGGCAGGCCGAGAAAGCGCCTTGGACTTGCCTGCTTGACCTGCCGTGAGAAGAAGATCAAGTGTAATCCTAACCCAACTGCCGAGGCCGTATGTGATCAATGCCGGAAATCTGGACGTGAATGCAGGTTCGAAAGTGCGTAAGTGTGATCGTGATCTCTGAAGAATATGCGTCTACGGACTTAACTTGCTGAACCATTGCTAATCTCCTCAAAGCCCGCGCGGGAACCGTCCTCCCCTGAGAGGATCAGCAGGGCCATCTGGCAGAACCGACTCTTACGCCCCCACTAGCCACGGTGCTTTGGACATTTCTCCGTCACTTTACGACATCACTCGAGCCTCGGACAGTGCGACCTCCCTTCCTGGGACTACCGGACACTCACCGATGTCAGAGGGCTCGATGCTCACACCGTCAGCCCAAGAATCCACGTATGAAACCATGGCCGACGCGGATAGAGCTTTAAGATCCCGATCCTACCGATTCCCACCGTCATCATCCGGCGCAGATGACACCCTCGGACGACCGTCGGCACATATCGAGTCTACTCGTTCGCCCGAGTACTCTGACATTCTGGGGGAACTGAAGGACAATAACTCGGATGACCCGCTCGCCGCGTCCTGGCAACTGGACCCGTACGAAAGCGACCCAGAGTCCGCGGTTCACTACACTGAGTGTTATTTCCTGCACATGAATGACGGTCTGTACCACATGTTCCCGCATGGACGATTCGGCTCGTGGTTGAGGACCTACCCCACCAAGTCTGCAGACGACAAGATGCTCCTTTATTCTATGATGGCTCTTGGATCTGTGTTTTCAGACAGACCAGACAAAATGGCAGCTATGAGGCGATATTCTCGCATAGCCCGCTTTGCCATTAACAGAAGCCAGCATACCCTCTCTTTGCAACTTGCTCAGAGCCATATCATAATGAGTCTTTGGTACTATGCTACAGGGTCGCTGGTCGGGTCTTGGGACTCGATAGGCGCAGCGGGAAGAGCAGTCTTTGGGCTTCGTTACAACGTGGAATCTGGAGGTGTTGTTGTGGATCAAAGTCAGATGTGTGACTACGGGTTACATCCACAGGCCTTGATTGAGTGCCGACGGCGGACCTTTTGGATTGCTTTTGTGCTTGATGTAAGAATACGCACTCCCTCCGACTAAAAACCGAATCTTAGTTACTGACCAAAGACCAGCGCTTCTCGAGCCTCTATTCTGCTTCGTCGACTTTCATCTCGTCAGATGCAGCCCTGCTGAGGCTCCCGTGCCGAGAAGAAATCTATGAGACTCAGCAGTACGCGACAGTGCCCTATTTCCAATCATTCCTCAACCACATCCCAGCCTCCGTAGGCGATGATCGCTCCACCCTAAGCCCAATGGCCTTTTTAATCGAGATCATGGCTATTTGGGGAGACGTCTCGCTCCATATAACCCGGTTACCGCACATCCCCCCCGAAGCATACAACCGACTCGCCGAAGAATTCCACACCACCATCGTCCAAAAATCCAACCAATGGATGACCCGACTCCCCGATTACCTGGTATTCTCACCCATAAACCTAGAACGAAGCATCCGACAAAGAAAAGCAGACACCTTCGTTTCGACCCATTTGTTCTACCACGCCAGTTTGATGAAACTGTACAGGCACGCCCGCTACCAGAGCCTCCGACCCGAAGTCTTAGGCCAGTACATCCACCGCGCTCGATATCACGCCGTCGAAATCCTCCGCATCTCTCTTACCTTCGACCACTACGCGAAAAAGATCATCCCGTCCCGGCACAACACAGAAACATCCATATCCCAATTAACCCTCCTGAACCCATTCCTCGGCTACGTGATCCTATCAGCCGTGGACGTCCTCAGCTCCGCTGGTCTGGCGTCTCAGTTGCACGAGTGCATCTCTTATATTAGAGGTGCATTAGACACCGTTCAAGAACTCGGCCGCTACTGGGATAGCTCTTTGCAATTAGTCACCGTTCTCCACAGACGTCTGGGTCTGATGATGAACTGTATGAATGAGCGCGCCGTCTTCGCTGAAAAACAGGGCTTTGCTCTCGATGGTCCGCCGCTTGAGACGAAGGTCCATGCTGGCGCTTTGCATTCTCATCCACCTGCGGCAATGGGTGAGGATCTTTTTACTGGATCTATGCCTAGAGAGGTGCTTTTGAATGCTCTACGGCTTGATCAGACACTCATCTCGGAGAGTGGTATTGCTTGGATTAGAGATCCATGAGAGCATGTCCCCCTCTCAACTCTATTTCCCTCTTCCTTTTGGTCTCTTTAATCGAGTTCCGAAATTGGCGTAACGACGTGATTGATATTCTGGCGATGTTGATGTTCTTGCAGCGGTGAGGGAATCTTGTTCTCTATTATCCTGTTACGATGTGATGGATGCATTCCAATAATGATGGTGACTTGGCTGGTTGATTCGAAAGTATCATTGCCACGTATAGACGGGACTGTGACCTACATGACTTGACTCATTTGTCTCTGTTTGAGTCGCAGAGTTTTATATTTTCTACATCTGTATATTATAGTATGTCATTTATTTTCTGCTTTTTTCATGCTTTTGAGCGAGCGCTCTACTACTGCTATCTGGCCCTCATGTACTTATATCTACCAGAGTTCGAAGACAAGAGAATGAAGCCAATGAGAAAAATAAAGGGGAAATTGACTGAGGTCTCATTATTTCATTACAAAATCATCTATGCTGTTATGATACCGAAGCTGGAAACTGCCCTGAATAAATGAACCTGCCTTCGACAGGATCCATCAACACTGCGTAATGAGTATCTTCATTGACAATCGGGTCCGAACAGAGCCACCCCAGCACTGTCCCAAGAGTAACGGACACTTCAGACTCAGGATCTTCCCATCCCATCTTCGTATTCCGTTTCCACTTCAAACGCATTGAACGGGGAAGAGCATCATCCTTAACCCTCCGCCTCTTAAGCTGTTGTTGGAAAACCCCATGGTCCTGCACCCTGCGATCCCATTTCCCCTGCATCGACGCCTGCCGCTCTTTACTCTCCTCAATAATCTCAGCCATGCTCTGCATACCATCTGACACACGCAGACCCGTATACCCTCTATCATTCGCAATAGCTTCATCCATAACCGAGACAGTATAATCATCGTGGTTGGTTTTGATAAGGAAAGAACTCGACCGTCGCCAACACGCAGTCTCATAGTCCTTTTCCATAGCAACAATGCTACTCCCATCACAAAAGATCAGATATGCAGCCGTCGTGCGCAAACAAGGCACTTCATCCAGGATCTCCTCAATGGTCGAAGTATTCGAAAGTCTGGTAGATCTAGATCCCTCCACACTGGGAAGAACACACTGCCTTAGCAACGACGTGATGGATTGTCGCAAACCAAGCAAAACAAGCAAATAATTAAAATAAAACCCCCAATTCCTCCGTGTATCATGCACAGCCCGGAAATTGAGCGAAACGCTAAGATCTTTCCGCACACCCGTGAGCACCCCCACGAACCCAACGTACGTGATGCACGTCGCGAGCACTTTATCCGGCGCGTCGTCGCGCACGAATTCAAGCTGTACAATCAGCGAGCGCAGTGGGTCCATTCCCCAGTCTAATGTTCGGAAATGAACCATTCGCGTCCAGAGTCCGTCGAGAATACGTACTCCGCCGCTTGTGCATCCCATTAAGAGATCTAGCACCACATTTAGACAGATTAGGAGGTACAGGTCGATTCCGGTCACGCGACTGATGCCCCGGATCTCGGCTGTTTCTTCGTCTGTGTAGAGTCTGTGCAGGAAGAGACGGGCGAGCCAGTGGATTGGTTTTTTTGGGATTTTGGGAGAGAGGCTGTGGATCACGTCGTCGAATATGTTGGTTACTGAGCGCATTCGGTCTTTGTAGATATGAGCGAGCGCTGTGTAGCGCTCTTCTGGTGGGTGGGAGAGGTTTATTCTGAATATTGGGGGTTGTTGGGAGCCCAGTTCTTTTAGGCGGGTTGTCATTGTTGAGGAGAGGGTTGTTTTGATGGTTGGTATTCCATTCGAGGTTGGAGAGAGGGGGGAGATGTGAGGTTGAGTGAGAAGTGGCGTTTACTGTCAGATAGAGTGCTTGGCAAGTCGATAAATGTCTTGATCTGATGTTTTATAAGAATTAAGAAATTTGGAGATGTCGGCGGGTCTTGCCGCGTACTTATGGGTTACACGGTGTTGACTGGAAGAACTGTTGCCTAAGTGCACGTGTAGCGCTAATATAGATCGACAGAGTCAACATTTACCTTTTGATAGTTCGACCAATATGTATGACTCTATTAGGCTGACATTGACATATATTGAAGAGGAGGTCTAGGGCTCGACGTGGCTCATTTCGCCAAGATCTCCTTCTATGTCGATCCCCCTACGTCTGCTACCCCAGGTACCCAACGGGGTATCTTTAGCTTCCGTTGGGTATTTTAGCTGATCTACGGAGTACTGCCGATGCCTTCTTTTTGGGTTTTCTCTCTGACTCCCGACTGAGCTTTTGACATGTATTAGTGAGCTTTGCTCCTCTGTGCTATTTATTGCATCGGCTTTATCCTTGATGAATTGATGACAATCCCAAAGTTAGGAAAAAACCAAACCAGGCTGCATACAAAATTAATAAATTAGTGCCTCGGACTGGACTTCATTGGATACATATGGGATCGAGGGTAAGCCTGCAGAAGAATAGCCGGATGATCGCCACTGCAGCTGGCTTGGGGACAGTTCAGCTGATCTGCATAGTTTTTGATGAACATGCTCTATAGCTTGCCCAACCGCATTGGACACTTGGTGTTTATTTTTCTTTTGTTAAGTGGAGATAGACTATTCTTATTATAGTAGAGCTTGCTGGCACATACATATCTTCCATCGTCAATGTATCACCAATTTTCGCAATTGTTTACCTAGGTATTAAAAGAGACATTTCCGCCTACCTATATGTATAATATGAACGAGATTCGCATGGAATCTACATGCTAATATAGCTAATACCAAGCTAATACTAATATGTTGGTCACATCACTCCAATTACCCTAAGCCAATAGGATTCTGATCACGGGTTGTCACCCAAAACAAAGGCATTGTGTTCAAGCGGTCAACGGGTAAATGTTTCATATACCATGTACTATAGACTCGACATAATTGGAAATTAATATGGATTAACTACTTGATAACAAGCAAGAATACTAGCTCTATATCATCCAGTCAATGCTCCACTATAATACCTCTGAGCGGGGATTCCAACGGAGATGCGGAAGGTTTCTCCGGAATTTCCATTTCCCTCCACACTCACCTTGCTTCATTGCCCTGTCGCATTTCATCCAACCACCCCAAAATGGGGATATATATATAGATCTGAAAAACGAGTGCGCAGAAAGCTCTCATGTCCTCATTCAACCAGTCCGGGACGCACGAGTTCCCCGGGGCGCAGGAGTTCCGCGCCACGGTGGAAGATGACGGACTCGACGCCGACTATAGCATGGTCGGCGAGTACCCAGAGGAACCCGACTACTACGTCCTGCTGGGCCTTGCGCGCAATCCGCCCCCAACAGATGCCGAGATCCGCTCCGCCTACCGAAACCTGACCCTCAGCTTCCATCCCGACAAACAGCCGCTGCATCTCCGCCATGCGGCCGAGAGTCAGTTCAGACATATCCAGGAGGCGTATGAGACCCTCATCGATCCAAATAAGCGCGTTGTATATGATATATCGGGTGCAGCGGGTGTGCGACAGGAATGGGGTCAGCATGGGGCCATGGGGATTGGTGGGGAGGCACAACGGCAGGATGTTGGTGTTAAGGCGATGTCGCCGGATCAGTTCCGGCGTTGGTTTTTGAAGACGATGAAGAAACGCGAGCGGAAAGCTGTCGAGAGTTTGGTTTCCAGCAAGGTATGTGTCTTCTGTATTGATCTTCCATTTTTGGGAAGTTGGGCGAATGGGCTGTTGCTGACATTCATTGGGTTTGACATCAGGGCAGTATTACCCTCGGAATCAACGCGTCGTCTATGATATCAGTCGACGAGGACGATGATGTGCAGTTCCATATACCTTCACCACGAGTGTCCTCATATGGTGTTTCGTATAATTTCAAGACGCCGATGTCATTACCACAGCTTTGGCGCACGGCAGAGAAAGAGGAAGAACCCTCTGGTGCGGAAACGGATTCAGGAGAAGATGTGCAAGAGGAGGAGATAGAGCACATGCAGGTGACTTGGAATGCGGGTATAACTGGAGGTTTGGCTCGCCCGGTCAAGAAAGTCACAGTTGAGTACGAGGATGGGTCAGAAGGAGAAGAAAAGGTATGATGTGCTGCATGTTTGCATTTCGAAATTTCGCTAACAGTTTTTCAGTTTCAAATGCCGCCGATCCTGGCAGGCCAGAACTTCCAATTTGGGGCCACTGTGACTCCCAATTTCAAAAACCTGGTGGGCACCAAAGGAATCTGGGCCAAACATCCTTTCTCACTTCTCAGGGATTCCCAAGTCAGCTTCGATGCTCTTCTTCTCCCTGTCCCAACCTTGAAAGCGAATATCGCTCGGTCCTTCCAGCCAATTCCCGGCACCAGGCCGTTCCAGGTCAGCGTGACCAGTATACATACGCGCTCTTTGGGGGAAACGGCGCCTTCTTTCGAGGTTCAAGTTTCGAGGGAAATTGCGAAGCAGAAGATCGGCGTCATTACATGGTCCAGTGGCGTTGTTGACTGGCCCGGATTTCTTCTCAACTGGTTCCCGTCACTTGGAATGGGAGCTCAGAGTGCCATTGCATCTGCTAACGAGGTCAGTAATCTGCAAATTGGTCTCATCTCGCTTCCCAAGCAGGGCCAAGCTGCAATCGATTTCGAAGATGATGACGAGGAGAGTGGAGAAATGGACGAGGATGTCCGTCATCTTCTCAAGAAAAAACGCCACATCGACCAATCTGCCGAGTCATGGCAGACTTATCTCCAGGCTACTCCCGCCGGAGGCGCCTTTGTCTTGAATTATTCTCGGAACCTCTTCTCCGGAAAACCCGCCGATGATCCGGTCAAGACAGAATGGAGCTCTGAAGGGTACTTCCCGATGCCGAGCATGGACCAGGCGCGTGCCGTGCGACTCGAGATCTCGAGTATTGTTGGGTTAGACATGTCTCTCAATTGGACCATCAAGGGCGTTCGTCGGGTTGGCGAGTACACGCGTGTTGGTCTCGGTATTGGCATCGCGGACAAGGGTATCATGATGACAGTTTCATGGAGCCGACTCGGCCAAACCATTAATCTTCCGATCAATGTTTGCCCGGCTAGTGAATCAACAAACGGCGCTGCAGCACTGACTGCCATATTCCCTTGGCTGGCCTACTGCGCGATTGAATTTGGCTATATTCGCCCGCGGGATAGGAAACTCCGTCGACAGGCAGCTGCTCGACGCCACCGTGAGCTCAAGAAGTTGATCCCTAAGAAACGCGAAGACAGTCTCCAGGCCATCGAGCTCATGACGGATCAAGTTCAAAGGCGGCAAGCGCGAGAAGAAGCACAAGAAGGTCTGGTCATCTTGAAGGCCGAGTATGGTTATATACCGCCAGTAAACAAGAAACCCAAAAATGGGTTCGCGGAGCCTCGGGTGATTGATGTCACTATCCCTGTGGCTGCGCTAGTTAACCGCGGTCAATTGGTGATTCCCGGAAAAACCGTCAAGGTAAGTCAAGCGATAGGTCTTGAATTGGTCATCTTTTCCGAAACTGAATACTAATTTGCATGTATCTAGTTCCAAATTTTGGGATTCCATGACCCTGCGCCGTTGCTACCCAAACGATTGAAGATCTGGTATAGATTCCAGGGGCGCGATCATTTTGTCGAGGCAGGTGATAAAGAGGACATCGCATGCCCCATGCGTACACACTTTATATCCGCATGATACATCTACACTCATCAAAAGGTCGAAGAACCTTTGCCATGTAATTATAACATCTAGTCGTTCATTAGCGACTTACTATTTCAAGCTCCATTCTGATACTTTCACTTCCCTTTATGTTCGTAGGTCTGAATAGTTGTTTTTTTTTTTGCTGTAAATACAAGCCTGGAAGCATTTTTGAAATCTTCTTTATAGTAATTATAATATCATCCTCTTCCAAGGTAGTAAAATGAGCCAGCCCAGTTGCTCAACGTCAGAAAGTCTTGGCATAATAGAATACGGCACTCCATAAACACCAACAGTGCGGTTTGTCCCGAAAAGCCAAATGAGCGTCACCTCATGAACTCTTCTCATCAACCACGAGTGCACAGCTCTTGAGTTGCTCACTCTTGAAATGTCGACCTCTATTGCTTCAGGACTTTTCAAGTCGCTCCCCAAACCAAAATACACTGGCGAGGAGGAAGAGTTACCACAGCATGCGCAACCCCGTGGTCCGCGCGTGGTGGGCGCCGACCAGATTGATGAAACACAGGTTGTCCTACGGGTGAGTTGTGGATCGCTCTATTGACATACTAGTACAAGGACTAATGATCCTGTCTTCCAGAGGACTGGACCCCCGCCCTACGGAAACCGTGCAGGATGGCGACCTCGCGCCCCCGAAGATTTCGGGGACGGCGGCGCGTTTCCCGAGATCCTAGTTGCACAGTACCCCCTCGACATGGGCCGAAAGGGAAAATCGTCCAAGTCAAATGCTCTTGCTCTCCAGGTCGATGCCGAAGGCAAGGTCAAGTACGACGCGATCGCCCGCCGCGGACACGCCGACAACCGCACCGTCCATGCCTCATTCAAGGATTTGATCCCGCTCCGACAGCGGGTCGATATGGGAGAGCTTTCGCTGGACAAGCCGTCCGAGGAGGAGATCCAGGCTCAGATGGAGAAGACGAAGGCCGCACTTACAACCTTGGTCGAAGGAGCTTCGTCAGCGCAGAAGCCGAAGAACGTCAAGGGCGGACAAAGAGCAGAGCCGACTTTCGTTCGATACACCCCGGCCAACCAGATGGGTAACAATGGCCGCCAGAATGACCGCATTATGAAGATTGTCGAGAGGCAGCTGGATCCTATGGAACCGCCCAAGTTTAAGCACAAGAAGATTCCCCGTGGCCCGCCCTCCCCGCCGCCTCCCGTTATGCACTCGCCGCCTAGGAAGCTTACTGCGGAGGACCAAGAAGCTTGGAAGATTCCCCCACCTGTGTCGAACTGGAAGAACCCCAAGGGTTACACCGTGCCCTTGGACAAGCGCTTGGCTGCAGATGGTCGCGGGCTGCAAGATGTCTCAATCAACGACAAATTCGCCCAGTTCGCGGAGGCTTTGTTCACGGCAGATCGACATGCGCGTGAAGAGGTGCAGCTCCGAGCTCAGATGCAGCAGAAGTTGGCAGAGAAGGAGAAGGCTCAGAAGGAGGAGCATCTTCGGATGTTGGCACAAAAGGCTCGTGAGGACCGCGCTGGCCCCAGCGCTCGCGTGTCACGGGCTCGTTCCCGCTCTCGAAGTGTTAGCCGCAGTGTATCTGTATACTCCTCCCGGTCTGCTACCCCCAGCGAAGATGACGAAGCCGCTCGAGACCGCGCGGAGCAGCGCCGCGAGCGACGACGCGAAGATGAACGACAGCTGCGCCAGTCTCGGATGGGCACAGAGCGCCGCATTCAAACCATGGCCCGAGAACAGAACCGTGATATCTCTGAGAAGGTCGCGCTTGGTCTGGCCAAGCCTACGCAGAGCTCTGAATCTATGTGGGATTCGCGTTTGTTCAACCAGACCAGCGGCATGCAATCTGGTTTCAATGAAGATAACCCTTACGACAAGCCGCTGTTCGCCGCGCAGGACGCCATCAACAGCATTTATCGTCCACGTGCCCAAGCTGATGCCGATGACGAAGATGCAGGCGAAGGCGAGATGAGCAAGCTTGAAAAGACCAAGCGATTCGAGGTCCTGGGTCGCGCCAAGGAGGGATTCCGTGGCGCTGCTGAAGCCGAGGTAAGCTTCCGTCCAATATACATTTTTCTTGTCGTCGCTAATAAGTTATTCTATAGGAGCGCCAAGGTCCTGTTCAGTTCGAGAAGGACACTGCTGATCCATTTGGCATTGACAACATGATTGCCGATGTGACTTCGGGCCAGAAGCGTTATGGAATTCAGGAAGCTGAAGGTGATGATGACCGCAAGTCGAAACGCCCGAGGGTCGACGACGAATAAATCCGCTTTTTGTTAAACTTTCTTCCATATGTGTCTCTATGTTCTCTCGTGATCTTTTCACGGGTATCGGAAAAATATCCCCAATGCATTGCGGGCGTTTCTGGCAGTGTGATTCCTACCACTATCTTGTTCACAAAAGGGAATCGAAATCGAAGCGAGTCAATCGGGCTTGCTTGCCATTTCATCTACAGCTACCAATAAAAACCATGTTGATCTATGAATTCAAGTTACTAGTTGTTTGTTATCTCTACTGAATGTGTACAGGATTGAGACAGCTTTCACAAGTATAGTACAACAAGAATAGTCGGCCACTTATGGGGCCTCTGCCCTTGACCACCTAAGACTTTAAGAATCCGATCTATTTGGACCAAGATGGTATTAGGGGTGTTATATGTAAGAACCCTCCAATATACTTTTTTGATGCCCTTTTTGATGTCTTCTTAGGTGTATACGAAGGCGGTAAAAAGTCTACTTTGTGCAAACAAGCTTTCTATGTATAACCTTTCATATCCCAGGTGGAACCAAATGACTAACATTCAATTTCAATGACTGATTGTCTAAAGCAGACTACATCGACACCTCAGCACCCACTCAGTTCTTCACGTCCTTCTTATTAGGAGATAGCACACTCTCCAACCACTTGTAAGCCACAGGCAGACTGTCAGGGTATCCCATGTGCACCCGGTTCTCGAAGAACCGACATTCCTTAGGACCGCCATGCTTGAGAGGCTCAATACAGTCTTCAATCGGGACAACGCCGTCATCCACGCCCTAGAAACAGTCAGCTTTGTTTTCTTTCCTCATCAGGGCTGAACAGGAATACATACGTTGAGCATAAGCAATCGGGTGTTATCTTGGTCAAGAATGCCAGTCTCCACGAGCGAGAACTTCTTCTGAGCATTCTTCACAAACTCCTCCTCATTGTCATAGCCATACTTCTCCGCCATAGCGGAAGTAAGCCTAGCATCATGGTTAGTACACCACCACAAAAAAAGCAAAACCTAGTCAAGACTCACTCAAACGGATACTCATGATCGTTCGCCTTAGCCAACCACTCAGGACTAAAAACTAAGTGCGATCCAGGTCCATGAGCAACACAACCCGCAAGACGCTCACGGTGCATACAAGCCGCCCGAATAGCATAGAAGCCACCAGCACTAAGCCCCCAAGCCGCGACACGCGACATGTCAAACTCCGGCCGGCGGTCCATGTAATCCAGCACGCTAGACCAGAGCCTATCAGGCGACTCAGGGTCGGCCGGATCCGCAGGCGAGTCCGCGGTACCGGGAATCTCAACAATAACCGTCGCCCAGCCCCGATTGATGATCTCGTGGGAGCGCTGGCTGTTGTCAGGCCTGTAGCCGTCAAGTCCGGTCATGAGCAGCACGACGGGGACGCGGTTGGTAGCGCTCGCTTCCTCCGGCAGCCGGATGTACAGCGGGATTTCGGCGCCGTCGCGACCCGCGCGGTGCGTGTTCGGAATCACTTCCTCTGTGAGGATGGGATTCCATAGAGAGGTGGCTTTTAGGTACACTTGCTTCTGGCGCTCGAAGGCGGCACGCTTGATGGATGTCTCGGGCCGTGTTGATGGGCTTACGTAGGGGAAGCGCGAGATGCGAAGGATGACTGCTGCGCGTCGATAGAGGTCGGCGGCGCGGTCGACGTGGCCATTGCTGAGGGCTGTGTCGGCTTCTTTCTCTAGCGCTGTTGCGGTTGGGAGGAAGGCTTCGGTGTACGCGTCTGTGTCTGCGTCGTTGATGTTTTCCTGTTGTTGTTAGTCGTAATGTTGGGATGTGTTGTGTTTGGGGATGCTTACAGCGATCAGCTTTTCAAAAACGGGCTCGAAGTCTTCCAGGGCTCCATCGTGGAATGGGTAGATGGATTTCGTGGCCTGGTTAATTACCCGTGTTAGTTTTTTGGATCTTTTCGTATTGTTGGGAAGGGACGTACGCAGATTTTCCACTTCGCCTCCCACAGGAGCTTGATCGACCCCTGGTGAGGGTAGACAGTGTCGAACTTGTCTCCGAGAATCCAATTCACCATGTTGAGGGGGATATAGATGAAGTAGCTTGGTGGGTTTAATATTGCCTAGTAAGGGCTTTTCCTTGATGAATTACAAATTCGAGGCATTTTGTGATCTTTTAATTGACTTGCCGCCACCCGTATTCGCCGGTAGCAGTTACTGCGAGAGCAAAGCCAAGGCAGAATGATGTCCATTGAGATGCAAACAGTAGGTGGATGTTGCCGCAAGCCCTAGATGAGACCGGATCGGCAGAGATCCAACGATGGGTGTATCTTGGCAGGGCATGGGGTTGCTTCAAATGTTTCCGGATGCGGGGTGGGTGACAGCCAAGATGGCGAGAAAAAGGGATGCAGATCGGATTCTCAGATGTCTCAGTACTCCATTACACTCTCGATTTCCCTTCGCGGCCTCGTGACCTTTCTGGTGTGGCTTCGTCATTATCTAGCCCTAAGTGGTAGGTAATTGAAAGAGCTAGGTAAGAGATGAACTTTGTACTCAAATGGTAGAATACTCTCAACAAAATGCCCTTCATTCTGATTCTATGGAAAACAACATAGAAACCAATATTTAAACAAGGGTAACGCATGATTCAAATGGTAATCGGCCCTGATCCTATACATAGCTCCTAGGGTCTTCTCCAATGACCTCAAATACAAAACAGACAACCAACATCTCGATTCAATTAGATGTCAATTAGATGTTAGCTCCGCCGTTACAAGGCAAAATTTGACCTGCAAAGAATTAGCAATATTCCCAGGGGTAAACCCAACATTCCAGCACTCACCGTTGATCCATTCTCCAGCAGGACTAGCCAAGAATGCCACAATGCGGCCAATATCCGCAGGCACACCACAGCGCCCAAGGGGACTACCATTAGCAAGCGCCTTCTCAATCTCCTCAAGAGACGAGTTCCGGTCACAGCCAGGCGCATAGCGCCACGCGTTGCTCAACCACATATCACTCTTGACACCAGCAGGAGCAATCGCATTAACAGTAGCCCTCTTCTTGCCAAAGTCAGCAGCAAAGCAGCGAGTAAAACCCTCGACAGCGCTCTTGCTGCCCGCATACAGCGAGTGGCCAGGAACACCCAGGCCCGCCGCAATGGACGACATCAGCACCACACGTCCGCCGGGCTGGATGTGGTCGAAGGCGTTCTTCGCGACGAAGAACTGCGCCCGGGTGTTGAGGTCGAACACAGCATTGAAATCGTCCAGAGTCGTCTCGGACAACGGAACGAACTTCTCAGTTCCGGCGTTCGACACAACAATGTCAAGCTGTCCGAAGTGCGCGACGACCTGGCGGAAGAGGTTGGCGATTGAGTCGACGTTTGTCAGGTCGGCTTGGAATGCCGCGCCGTGCACGCCTTGCGCTTCAATATCTTGCACAACCCCGTCGGCGGTCTTGGAGCTGCTGGCGTAGTTGATCGCTACGCTTGCTCCCTTCTTCGCGAGCTCTAGCGCAATGCCGGCGCCGATGCCTCGACCACCGCCCGTCACTAGGGCAACTTTGCCGGCGAGCTCAAGCTGAACAGCGTTGGGGTGTTCGACGACCATTTTGGTGGTGGGTTTGATGTTTATGGAGGTGAGGTGTGAAGGATTGTAAATGAGTAGGTGTGAAATGGCGCTGGGAGTGGGAATCGTAGTCTAATATTGAATATGGTACATCAGTTAAATGGCTTGGTTTCATCATTCATCCCCATTGCAGAGGCTGGGCTTTGTTTCCGAATTTGTCGGTGACACATTGCAATGGCAGTCATAGAGGCCCAGAATCAACATCGGGTCCTAAAACAGAGTAGCTGCTTGCGAACAAGAACTCCAAATTACCTTGGCGTTACCTTGTACCGCATGCGGAAAGCCATGAGGGGTTGTCTCCACCATCTGTCACATCAGAAGCTCTCGGTTGCATTGTTGCGTTCCCGTGCATGAGAAGAATGCTGGCCAGATCCGGGGAATGTTAGTTTCGGGGGAGTTCGTTAGAAGTGAACTTTGGATATACTCGCACGATACGCCTCGCACCTATAACCAGAGCTCGAAAACTATCTGCAGAAAGCAAACATCGCTGGATAACCATGTCTCCTGCCACAAAGAACATCGCCGCTGAGCCCAACTTGGACATCAGCTTCCAGGGTTTGTTCCAATCCACCTCATTCACCTGCTTGTACTAACATCAACAGACTACCTCATCCTCTCGAAGCTCGTTTTCGACTGGGCAGACAGCTATGACGCCAAGGTACACATTCGATCCCATGAAAAAGCCAACTCAAAATTAGTGCTAACAGTGTTCCAGGACTGGGACCGCCTGCGCAGTATCATTGCCCCAACTCTGACGGTCGACTACACCAAGATCGGTCTGAAAAGATGGGACAACATGGCCGCTGACGACTACATGGCCATGATCACCCACCCCGGCTTCCTGGGTGACAAAACAATCAAGACCCAGCATCTCCTTGGTCAGACATGGTGGGAGAAGATTTCCGACACCGAGGTTATCGGTCACCACCAGCTGCGCGCGGCGCACCAGGTTTACGAGACTGAAGCCTTGGAGACTGTCAAGCTGCGTGGTCACTCTCATGCTACGAACGAGCACTACTATCTAAAGATCAATGGTATCTGGAAATTTGCCGGGTTGAAGCCGAATGTGCGCTTTGATGAGTTGCGTTTCAATGAGGTTTTCAAGGGTCTTGACTAGGTGTACCTGAGACAATGGGTTTTTGTGGAGGGGAATTGGTATAGTTTGATATAGTTTCGGAATTCATTTTACTTGCTTTTCTCCTCTTCTGTTGCCATTATGTAGAAGCCACCCCAAACAGAAGCCCGGGGTCGAGGTTAATCGAGGGAGAACGGTGACTTGAGGGAAAGTGAGGGCCCTTCGACCCCAGTAACGTATTTCACATGCGAGCTGGCCGCGCCAAAACACCCCAAACAACAAATAAAACCACATCAAGGTTCATTAAAAGACTCGCAAGGCCTGTCTGTACAGAATGAAAGAAAGATTCCTTCAACAGCTAATTTTCTCCGTGTAAAATGAAAAAAAAAATGGAATTTGTAAATAACAACGACCGCATGGCCATTATATCTGTGCAATTCCGAGGGCGACCACACGACAAGAGGGTTCGGTTCCCGATTGGCGATGATGGACAAAAGCAATTCTGGTCTAGGAACTAGCATGTGTTTCCTTGGGAAAGCCTTTCCATCACCTTTGCATACCATCCAGGCATTCCTCTCTGATACAACCTCATAGCGGTAGCCAGATGTTGTCGTCCCGAATCCTCTAAGGCCGTTGATAGACGGTACCCCTCAGTCAGACCCATTTCTCTTTCTTTTTCAGCCACCACCTCTATATAAACTTCTCTATCCGCAAATTTCTGTAAATCATCTGCGTCCTTTGGGTAACCCATCTCATCATAATTCCAAGGCGCATCCATCAGGCGGTACAATGGATAGAGTCAAAGGAAATTCGCCGGATATCTCCCAGGGCCCTGTAAATGCGGCTTCCCAGTCGATAACACCAAGCAGCTTGTACTCATCATCGAAAATCATATTGCTATGGCGCCAAAGTCACCATGATATAGCAGGAAAGGGCCTCTATCTCAGACAGAGAGGCTTTCAGCCAAAGTACCGACCGAAGATCTGAAGGAAGACGCAGACGATGATAATTCATATTACGAGAGGCAAGCAAGCTAGACGACACAAGAGAGAAAGAATGCTACGTGCAGACAAACAAAATTCCACCTCCCCCTGAACCATGTGTACTGGATGTTGAAGGCCGGAGAGAAAGAAATGAAGAAGCTTTCTCTCAGGAGAGAGATCAATCTACTGATCTCCCGGCTCCCTGTACAGCAGATGGGCTGTGGGCAGCTTGGTGCCTCGATTCGTGATTTCTCCAGGCGTTTACCCAAGTTAACTCCATTCCTCCAGGTTAACTCCATGCCTATCTCCAATCTAATCACCATCCCTGTATAGAGGAGAAGGGAGAGATGTTTAGATAGAATGTTTAATTAAGACGGAAGTTTGAATATGGTAAAGTGACCTCGGGAAGATTAAGTGGGCCAGTATGGATTGTGCGTTCTGATTGGTTGGGGGCCAAATAAGCAGGCCCCACCTATTGATACTGCCTATGATCGCCCTTCTTGGCCGGAAATCTGCCGGTATCCGTACATATTCACAATTCACATTCTATAAAGTGGCTTCGAACAGACCAAGGTGGTCCCTATGCCGACCTGGATGCTGAAACTGGCGCAAAAGCAGTGCTGGACCTCCTCTCGAGAGGTAAAGAAGCTCTCAATGGGAAGTTTCTAAATATCAATGTCCCGGGTTGGGAGGAGACCAAAGGACTGCATAAGTATGATGGGCTTGAGATTGAATAGTAAATGGCAAACAGATGTTGCGTACATGGGACGGTACCCGTAGCGGAGCTCGGCCTTGCAGATAATAGAATATACGTTGTTATGGTTCGCGACGCCGGTAGCTGCACCAGGCTCAGGGCATAGCAATAGTTTCATGGTCTTATATTTAGCTACTGCAACCTTAGGTCTTAATATTAGCAACAACGGCAACACCATTACTGAGAATTCCAAGTCCAACGTGATATCAACAGAAATAGACAAATCACGCAGACAATTCACACTGATCATAGTCATCATCTTCGTTGACTGATGGATACACCATCCTCTCAGCCAGTCCCGCCTTATTCTGCTCTTCCTCTTCTGCTTCAATATTTTCCCGTAGTTGCGCAACGGCACGATTCACCAGTGAAGTCAGATATTCATCATCCGGATGTTGTCGACAAAGCTCTTGGAAAATATCGATAAAGTCAGGAGGGTTACCATCTTGGGCCTCATACTGACCAATGGCGAGGCAATGCACCACATTAACAGCGGCTGCAGTAGCTTGGAGTATCTTCGCTCTGTCATCATTGGTATAAGAGTTGGAAGGGCTACAGCTCATCAAGAGCTTAGCAATTGGATCTGCTGTCGTCAACAGCATCCAGAGGGAGATATTATGATCCATAGAGGCTCTCAACTTGCGCAGATCACGAAAAAAACATATTTTGAGAATCTCGGCTTCGGTAGAAAGGGAGACCTCGTTAAGCCGCATCGTATTTCTTGCCCACTTAATTAAGTCAAGGACATATTGGCCCGCAGGCATATTTGCCAACGAAGCAATGTACTCCATATGATACTTGGCATCCGTAGCTGGGCTTTCTGTGTGGTCATTCTCTGCTGATGGGTTTGTTGAAGCGTCTAGTTTTCCCGCGACGTTGGTCGGTTCGTTAATTGCTGTCGACGAGGAAGCGTCTCCACGGCCACGTTGATCGGGAACTTTGATATTGGAGCTCGTAGAAGCTGTTGGAGGCAAGGTCGGGGATTTGACACTTCTTTCGTAAAATGTAACCCGATAGGCCGTGCGATGAATCCTGCACTGGTAATGTGACGGTCTTGGAGTATAATCAGCCTTGAACCTGCAACAAATTCTCTGGGGACATACCCATGTGACACCCATGGCGCCCCGAGCAATTTCCGATCGATCTCAGCAAATTCGCACCAGCCGGTTGGTACAAAGAGTCGGGTTGACCTGAGGCTGGGCCTCTGAAACACTTGGACGCAAAACGGGACATTGAGTCCTAGGTTCTTGTCTTTGGTTGGCGCTCTCTTGTCTTTTGCTTTTGCCCAGTTGATGAAGAGTCCGAGTCGGTAGTCTTCAGCTTCGAAAGTCGTAGACCTGATCTTATCGCAACAAAACGCCTGCGGAGTCATTGTTTTGAGTGGAGGAGACAGAGTGGATCTGACGAGGTGGAGAAATGTGGGGAATGATACTGGCAGTCTATGTAGGTACCGTTGATTCATTGAGCTGATCATGATGTGCTTATTGCTTGCTGTATACTTTTAGGAGGCCCAAGATAGGAGGTTGGTTTGGGGGAGAAGGGTCCAAGGTACAGTTAACCTTCTGTATATCAATTTCTAAACATCTGTATAGAGTCAAAAGCAGCAATATAGGTGATGTGTAGATAGTCCTTGTAGGTGCTGACAGAGGGGAAATGGGGAAATAGGCAAGAGCCACCTTGGGAGCACCTACCCTGGAGGTATACCCTACCTTCCTATTTGGTCAAAACTCGTCACCTACCCCAGTTCCCCAGAGCCTTAAGCCACTGGCAAAATATAAATACCCCCCTCCCCCCACTTTCTCTCTCTTCTTCTTTCTTCCCTTTACATCGCTCTGCTGCTTCCCAGGACCTTCCCCCATGGACCCCCCTCCACTTGGCCCCATCCACCTTGGACTTTCCATCTCTGCCATGCATCAGGACATTCTACCATGGACCTTCCACTCTGGTCACCTTCCACTCTGGTCACCTTCCACTCTGGTCACCTTCCACTCTGGTCACCTTCCACTCTGGTCACCTTCCACTATGACCTCTGTCCATCGTGACCACATCCACCATGGACCTTCCACTCTGGTCCTTCCACTATGACCTCTGTCCATCGTGACCACATCCACCATGGACCTTCCACTCTGGTCACCTTCCACTATGACCTCTGTCCATCGTGACCACATCCACCATGGACCTTCCACTCTGGTCACCTTCCACTATGACCTCTGTCCATTGTGACATATCCACCTTGATCGTCCACCATGTCCTTTCCATCATGGCCTTCCACCATGACCACTTTGAACTGTGAGCATTCCTAGTGACATTCATCTATTCGTCTCAAAAGACGAACCTTGCTTACTTGTTTCTAGTAACATTCATACGTTCTCACCCACATCCACTCAACTATCTCCAGCCTGGCCGTGGCGGACTTCGGCTTCAGGACAATCGGCAGGCTTGGAACGAATCAACCACATCCACTTGACCACATCCACTTACCCACCCACATCCACTCAACCGCATCCAACTCTCCAGCCTTACCGTGGCGGGCTTCGGCTTCAGGACAATCGGAAGGCTTGGAACGACAACAACATCAACCACATCCACCCACCCACCCACATCCACTCTCCAGCCTTACCGTGGCGGGCTTCGGCTTCAGGACAATCGGAAGGCTTGGAACGACAACAACATCAACCACATCCACTCAACCACATTCACTCCTTGTTTCCAGAAACAATATTGATGGTGGGACAATCCACGGTGATGACCGTCCACGGTGAAAACTATCCACTCAGGGCCTTTCCATTTGGACATTCACAATCCCCATCATCCATCATAAGATTCGACTAGGATGACCTTCCACCGTGCCCACCATCACCATCAATCATCCACTAAAACAACATCTTGGCCTCTCTTGGCCTCTCCTCCTGGCGACCTTTCGCTGCGCCCACCGTCACCACCAACAATCCACCATACCAACTATCCTGGCTTTTCCTCTTGGCCTCTCATCCACCAAAAAGTTATCCATTTTCAACATACCCTTTGACAACTACATATCACAACCATCTATGACAACCACAACCACCACCCACCACATGACAATCATCCATTTTGACCACCCATTTTGACCACCATCCATGACCAACCACCGTCCACCTATGACGATCACTTCGACCATCTTGACAATTATCCACCTTGACAACCATCTTGACAAAACCATCTTGACAAAACCATCTTGACAAAACCACCTTGACAAAACCACCTTGACAAAACCACCTTGACAAAACCACCTTGACAAAACCACCTTGACAAAACCACCTTGACAAAACCACCTTGACAAAACCACCTTGACAAAACCACCTTGACAAAACCACCTTGACAAAACCACCTTGACAAAACCACCTTGACAAAACCACCTTGACAAAACCACCTTGACAAAACCACCTTGACAAAACCACCTTGATAAAACTACCTTGACAATTCATCTTGAAATCCATATTGGCAATCATCTTGACCACCATCAACCTTGACAAAATCACCTTGACAAAAACCATCTTCACAAAACCATCCATCTTGAGACTTTCGATCTACTATGACAGCTGGGACCACTATCCGCCACGAGACCTTCCACCTTGGCTATCCACTATGACCACCATCCACTATGGGTCTTTCCATCTTCCCATCCACCATGGTCACCACGAGACTTCTTACTTGACCATCGACTGTGCCCACCATCCACCATGCATCTTCCATCTTAACAATCCACCACGGCCACCATCCACCATGGGTCTTCCATCTTGACCATCCACCACGGCCACCATCTATTATGGGTCTTTCCATCACCATGGTCACCACGAGGCTTCCTACCTTGACCCTCCACTGTCCCCACCGTCCAAAATGGGTCTTTCCATCCTCCCCTCCACCATGGTCATCATGAGACTTCTTACTTGACCATCGACTGTGCTCACCATCCACTATGGCCACTACCCACCATGCGTCTTCCATCTTAACAATCCACCATGGCCACCATCCAGCATGAGACTCGTCTACTATTACAACGATGACCTCGTTTTGCCAGCTGGCACAAAGGCACCAAGGTTTCCACAACTTTCTATCAACTCTTCCTGCCTTGTTATCATCAAGTCTCATGGCAAAAACCTACAAACAAACATGTTATTGGAAAACTTCCTGGTCAAATAAATGTCCAGCACAGACCAAACTCTCGTGGTCAAACCAGCAACTCAAAGCGGCCGTGTAAAGCTTCTGGATCAAGCAGTTCCCTCCAATGATCAAGTCACTTTCCTCCACTGGTCAAGTCATCTTCGACAAACTTACTTTGACTCCACCAATCAAAGATCTCTGATGTCTCTCATATCATTGCTCAATACCGCCAAGATGGTTTTGTCTGTATCAACCGATCTTCATATATCATTAGGGGTTAGCTAGAAGGAGAAATCAATTTGTATTGTTTTCATTCTATTATTTCTGTAGATTTCCTTTCTAAATTAGTATCAACTTTATCATAAACCACGAAGCAATCGTTCATGGGTACATGTAGACATAGACCAAACACAAAAAAGCAAAATAAAAGTGACACACCTCTAGTGGTCCGGATGCTGATACAATTGTTTATCTCTTTCCTTCCACTTCTATGCATTTGGCTACGAGGCCTATTAGTTAGGATCTGTCTTCTTCCTCTGGATCTATATGCAGGAACGAGGCGAGAGGATCTACTCGGTGTGGCCATTCTTTGAATATTCATTACATGTCCAACAAAGATGACAGAAATTATGTTATATGAAGAGCTAAAGAAAAGCAATATAGCAAAACATCAGCGAATCAAAATCTAGCTATTCAATCGCCACAACCTCCACAGTCTCCACAATCCTAGTCATATAAGAAGTTATTGTCCCCTCCACCGCAGTCATAGCTTCTATAATCATCAGAAGTCCCCCCAGAATAGTAACACCCATAGTCCTCGGTATCCAAGTAGCTCTGACTCACACTACCTTCGTCACGGAAAGTAACCTGGGTCTCACATGGAGGCGAGTACGACCGTGCGTCTTCATCTCGAGTTACCTCGGTGTCAAATGTAGGCGAAGACGACACAGGCTGGTCTTTGTCGGAATCTTGGTTGGTATCTTCAGTCCCATCGTCAGGCCGGGATATCCCATCCTCTTGGTCCTGGTCTTGATCTTGGTCTTTGTTTTGATCTTCTCCATCATTATCAGAATCACTAGACCCAGTCTCAACAGCAGTCGAAGACGCCACATGCTTATCAAAAACCGTCGAACTCCCAGTCCCCCAGTTCGGTCCACAACCAGATCCCAAGTTAGATCCCCATGCAGAGCCGTATCCCATCCCGGTTCCGTATCCATAGCCTGAGCTAGCTCTATGTCCCACGCCAGACCCCATTGATCCAAGCACAGATCTTGATCCTGACACTGACCTCGATCCCGACACTGACCTCGACCCAGAACCAGATCCAGAGCCGGATATCTTGTGCTTGATTGCATTCTCAAGCTGCTTGAGCGGTTTCGCTATACTGGCTCGCCATCGACGCGAGCTCCCCGTGCTTGGTTCGTAGAGGTTGAGATCGAATACTCGGTTGTGTTGGTTGCAGTGGAAGGTTTTGCATCTGTCGAGACATCAATATGAGGATATGATAAAGAGGATGATAAATGTGTCCATGGTGTAAGTTTATGCAGTCAACTCACTCATCCATCTTCACGAAATTCGCATCCACAATCCCATCTTCGGAGACTTCCTCAAAATTCCCGTGCTTGTCACTTGCGACGAAATACCGAATAGATTCTATGGGCCCGTTGGTGACTTGTCGCACGAGTTGGATGCAGACGCTTGCTTCGGAGGGATCGGTGGATCCTGTTAGATTGCCGATTACTGTCAGGGCCCATTTGGTGAATTCGGTGAAAGTTTGCTCGTGTTCGGTGTTTGGGAATTTGGTGGGTTGGATGGTGGTGCAGCAGAATAGATGGTTTGACATTTTGGCGGGTTGTTTGAATGGAATCTTGTATGAGAAGATTGCTTGTGGGGTGGGTAGATAGTATGGGTGATTTATTTCGTTAAGGAACTGTGTCTCTCTGTCTGGTGTGTGGATGAGGCCGTCAGGATGTGATAATTAGACTCTTACTTGATTAGGAAACGGAGCTGTTATTCCTAGCTACGGGGTGTACCAGGGCTGAATTTGTGGCTATTGTTGGGGAAAAAGATACTATGCCACTTTCTATACCTATTCCAAGGTTGCAGCTAAGGTTGAGTTCGAGATATTTGTCAACAGTCTATGGCATCCATGGTAGGGAGTTGAAGATGCATCCTATCTTCTATATGTCATTCATATACAGAGAAAAAAAAAGAAGGTAATCAAAAGAGGCTGTCATTGAATTAATTAGTATTGCCAATGGCTGTGATGCCAATAAGACAAAAGAAATGAGAGCAATCTAATATACAAGCATTTTACAACCTCCATGAAAGCGCAATATCACATCACAAATGCTAGTATTCCAAGGTTACTCCCAGTCCTCCAAGTCATCCATAGTATCCTCATAACTAGAAAGAATTAGCTGATGCGCACATTTGAGCTTATTTCGACTGTACTCACCTAGCATCTTTGATGGGATAGCTGTGGCCGTTATCGATAACATAACCGCTGTGGGTATTCTGGTTCGGCAACGGGCCCTTGGTCGACTCCTCGTGGATGGTGACGTGGTGATCGTGCGTCTCAGCCGTGTGAGGGGCTGACCAGTAATCATTGGTGTTCCCGGCGTCGACGTTGACGGGCTCGGCGGTGGGACGGGGTGCCGCCGACGGCTGCTCGTGATTGTAGTTCGGTAACGCGGGCTTGGGAGCCTGAGGTTGTGCCTTAGGTGCAGGCGGATTTGCCACCGGTGCTTGTGTCGACGGCTGCTCGTGATTGTCGTTCGGTAACGCGGGCTGGGGAGCCTGAGGTTGTGCCTTAGGCGGATTTGCCACCGGTGCTTGTGTCGACGGCTGCTCGTGATTGTCGTTCGGTAACGCGGGCTGGGGAGCCTGAGGTTGTGCCTTAGGTGCAGGCGGATTTGCCACCGGTGCTTGTGTCGACTGCTGAGACGGATGCGCAGTAGCGGGTCTTTTGGCGCCCTTGGTGGCGGTATACAGAGCGCCGTGGCTGCCGGCCGTAGCCTTAGTGTCAAGTCCGGTGAGGTCAAGACCATCGTTGCCAGCGGCATTGCCGCTGATGTCTTGGGGGTAGGCAGCGCAGGTGTCATAATGGCTCTTCGGGGGAGCGTGCACGGTGTTCGCGAAGGTCTCGGGGGCCTCAATGATGGTGGCCATTAGACCAGCCTCGACGTGCCACTCTATGTGGCAGTGCAGCATCCAGACACCTGGGTTATCCGCGCGGAAGCGGATGACGGCGTGGCCATTGTTCTGGACCATGATGGTGTCGCGTCTGATTGGGGTCGCGGAGACGTTGCTCGTTAGGCCATTGTAGTAACCGCCGTCTACTGGGGTGCGCTGCAGAACCTGGAACTGATGGCCGTGCAAGTGCCATGGGTGCAGGTTGCTGTGGTGGTTGTTGATCACGATTTCGACGACATCGTTATGTTTCACGACGAAGGGGTTTACTTGGCCATATACTTCGGGATTGGAGGAAAACTCGGGACCGATTGTGTTGGCAGTGTATAGAGACGGAACCTTGGGGGAGATATAGGTCTTGCCGTTAACAGTGAAGCGCGGAACACCGTCGATCAATCCAACGCCGGTCTCAAGAATGATCTGTTGGTTCACGGGTTGGAGCAAGGGCTCGTGGTCTGCGGGTACCAAAGTGACATCATCCACAAAGTCATTTTGGAAGTCGATGTGTTGGAAGACGGGAGGCTCGGGCAGCGGCTTGTCCTCGTCGTACACCAACCAGGCGGTGGCATTGGGGTTATAGCCCTCTGGGATGGTGCGATTTTCGAAGATAAACATCATGTTGACATCCATAGTATCCCAGATAGCAAAGTTCTGACTAGCGTCAGGCTTGGTTTTGATCAAGACACCCATACGCTGGCCAGTTGCAACACGCAGGAACTTGTCTCCAGCAGGGTGGGGCTCGGTATAGACGCCGTCGACCTCCACGACAGTCATCTCGTGGCCATCGAGCACCCAGAAGTGGCCAGGCCAGTTTCCAATACAGATAATGTGAACAAGATACGTCTTGTTAGGCAGAACCTTGATCTTGGTGTTGGTCGAGTCATTGATCAATGCCGAATCAGGGAGAGGCTCTTGGCCATGGGACGCCACACTGGCGGCATCGAGCAGCTCTGGCATCTCCTTGTGGTACCAGTCGCTCAGGGTGATTGTGAACTCATCGTCATAGTGGAAAGGAGGGCTAGGGTCGTGGACAATCAGAGCACCACGCAATCCATCGGGGTACTGGCCCATGTTGTGTGAGTGATACCAGTATGTTCCAGCTTGGTTGACCTATACTGCAATTAGAATATGATCATCTCTCTCGCGCCGGGGATTACCCACATCAAAGTGATATTGCATGTGCGAGCCTGGGGCAATTGGGCACTGGGTGACTCCAACCGCACCATCCATAACACCGGAGCCTTGCTGGCGCATGCCGTGCCAATGGATAGCCGTGGACTCATTTCCAAGGCCGTTGTAGACATCGACGATCAGTTGGTCGCCCACGTTCACGTCAATCTGCGGGCAGGGCCATTGGCCGTTGATACCGATGACCGGGCGCTCAAATCCATCGGGGGAAGCATTAACCCAACCGATGTGCCAGTTCAGGTAGACATCTTTCGCTGCGGCTAGGCCAACCCAAGTGGCCAGCGCAAAGAGGCTAAACTTGGCCATTGTGGCAGTATTCAAGGCGCGAAAAACGAGCGACGGCCCAAATGAGAAATATAGTAAAATCCTCTAAAAGAGTGTATTTGAGGTCGGATCAACTAGAAAGCAAAAACGAATATAAAAGAACGAGGTTGTCGAAATGGGCGCAGATCGGCCGCTGTGCTGAATGTCGAAAAGGAAGAAACCTGGACACCGGGCCTCTTTAACCATGGCGATACAAAAACAAAGATCCTGTCGATCTGCAGGGGCCTGAGTATGCTACTCGGGTTAGATCCCATTTCCCTGCTCGCGAGAGTGACATTGGTCATGCCTTCATTCAAGGGTTTCAGGGGCTGGGAGCTGGAATAACAAAGCGCATAGTAGAGCAGTATCGAAGTCGGCCTTTGTTTTTCTTTGAAGAATGCCCTAAGTGGGCTCTGAAGGGCGGAATGTAGATAATTCACCTAGGTGGGAGATGGTTCCGGAACTGCCACGCAAGGGGGACATACTCGAGTCATACTCGACTTGAAGGCTTGTTTTGGAGTAAACAGAGTGTGAACTTCAGCTCTACATTGAATAGAACTGCTATATGGAGTACGGAGTACAACATTGACATATTTGTCCGGCCTAATAGATTGTGGAGGATCATGATCGACGATATAAGCTTTAGCGTATATAAACTCCGCGAAGAACCCGGTTTTATCTTTAATTTATAATATAACCTATAGGTATACGCTCTAGCTTGTCGATTCAGGTTAGCGAGAATGGTTTTTAAGTACGCGATCATATCTTTAGTGTTTATGTATATAAGGGGAGCTCGACAGCCCTAAACGGAATGGCATTTTCTATAAAAAGCCTTTATTGAGAGCTATACACCACCTAAAAAATGATGATATATGAATTTGTACGGAGTATAGTGTCAAAAGCTTCATTTTAATATATAGATACAAGAATAGTCGGCCGCTTATACGGCCTTGTTAAGTATTTTTTAGTAGTCTTTTATAGTAGTCTTCTTAGATACTCTTTTCAGATCTCTTTTTATCTTTTTTTAAATATCTTTTTAGTGGTCTTTTTCAGTGGTCTTCTCAGATTCTTCTCAGTTAGTCTTTTTGGATGTCTGTTTTCATAGATATTTTCTCCCCTTCTTAGTTTGCTAGAGGCGGAAAAAGGCTTAATTTGTGAAATGGGACTTTTCTATAGTTAGCAGTCGATGTTTTGGGATAATCAGGCATTAAGGCATCAATATTACCCGCAAAGGGGGTTTTGTCGCGTGGCACCTATACCGCTGCGTACCCTGACGCAACCCGATAAGCCTTGGACACGGATATTCCCAATCGGGTCGTGTGACGTTGCACTGAAATCTCTTTCGTCGCCTCTGTTAGAGCGGCAAAAGGAAAAAAAAAGGCTACAGCCTTGCAAGAGGCCAATGCATCATGCCACAGGCTGTTATCTTACGGAAATAGTACGCCATTTATCCCCGGGAAAAGCGGGAGATTTACAATCACCTGGAGAAGTTTCCTTAGAATCAGGCAAATCATATACCCTACATGTCAGCATGAATACTGTTAGCCTTCCCGTATATGTATATATGATCCCATGAGATCTGCAGAGATGATCTTCGTATCTGATAGGAGAGTCGGAAAACGTCGGCGTAAAAAAAGAGAGCTAAGGCCCCCCCACAAAAAAAGCGCAGGAACAAGGTGTCCGTGCGGGCTAATTAAAAGACTAAGAACAGGTCTGATAAGCTGTGGAGTAAAAGAGATTTAGTCAAGTCAATTTGGTCAATTTAGTTGAAGATAGTGGGAGAAAAAATTGAAGAGGGGAAGAAGTTGGGAAAAGAGAGAGGGGTTGCCCACCTCCAGAGGTGACTCTCTTCTCTTTGTCACTTCACTTTATTTCCAGAGCCAAGTATCCAAGTATCCAAGAATCCAAGAATATTTCCATCGCAAATCTCTACTGCCACTGACGACATGTGTTGATGGCGCTTCCTCGCTTCAAATAACATCATCGAGCCTCAATGGCGTAATAGCTATCTGGACATTTATCAAATACAGAACCGCAAAAGGCACATCTGTACACCCTCTCGCTTGCTCCAAGACTATAACTCATGATATGGATCAATCAATGACTCTTATCGATGCACAAGTGCACTTCCTAGTGAGTCATTCATGCCACCTGCCTACAACACCTACTAACTCAATGCTAGGAGGAATGTATTGTACTGGTACACATCCCATTGGAGCTGTATCCATACTTCCTGAAGTCTGTTCTAAGACTCATCTTCGATGAAATTCCACCATTGGAAGACGAGACAGACGACGATGCTGCATTTGATGATTTTGAAAACGCTTCTGAGCATGGCTCGGCGTACAAACCACCTGCATTCATGAATGTCTCCATCACTCCAGTCGAAGTCTCCGTCATGTGTCCTAGACGGTTGGTCGACAAATACTTCGTCCCAGTCATGGACCAACTCGACCAGTTGGATGACTCACTCCGATCCCGTCTGATCGTGAGCGAGAATGACTATATCGCCATGCAAGTCCTCGGCCAAGGCCTTGAGGCCGGCAAGCGAGTTTTGGAATTGACCAGTCCACTTGCTCTGGCAGGCATGTATGTGAACTCGAATATCTTTTCCATATATACAAAAACCACACCCAAGCTAACCTCCCCAAAGCTCCATCTTCTTCATCTCAACCTACTTCTCGGACTACATCGTAGTCCCCAAGCAAAGCAAAGCAAGTGTGATATCCGCGCTAGAAAAAAGAGGCTTCCAATTCAACAACGCCTCAGCCGCCTTCATCACCAGCCCGCTGAGCCCAACCATCGAAAGAAGACTCAGCGACCTCATCCCACCAGGAACACCCCCACCGTCGACCCTAGGCGAACTCCAAAGCCGCACCTTCAACAACCTCCGCAAACACCAAATCACCCCATCCGTAGACGACTCCCTCCGTCTAGTCCAATGCGCCGCCCACCACGAATACCACACCCAAGACTCCTCAATGTCCATCCTCCGCGACGCCCTAACAACAGTCCTCCTGGTCGACGAACCCCGCTTCCTCTCCCTAACACTCGCAGCCCTCGACCCAGCAGCTTCCCTCCTCCTAGAGAAACGTCTCCTCCCCCGCTTCGCACGCCAATCAACCTCCTCAACAGGAACACGCTCCTACGAAGATGGCTCAGGTCTCCTCCTCGGCTCAAAGGAAGACCATCTCATCCCCATCACCCTCGACCTCCGCGACCTACCCCTCGAAGCATCGGGTATCGTCTGCGGCGTCGCCGGCCGTCTTGCAGAAGCAGCGACGACGCCGCACGCACTCAGCGCGGATACGAGCACGGTAGGCAGTGGTGCTAGTAGTGTTATTGGTTCTGTGCCGAGACTGTTCGATTCGTTCGGGACTCGTCTCGCGGCGCTCTCTATCGATAAATCACCCGCTCATGGATTGCAGCCCTTGCCGCACTCCACACATCATCTCCAGCCTGATGTGGATGTTGCTGATGCGGTTGAGATTAGTTTCTTGAGTACGGCGCGTGCGGGCACGATTATTGTGGGTGAGGATGAGCTTAAGAGGGCTATTGATGCCCTTGAAGAGGAGAAAATGCAGTCGCCTAGGCTTGAGGGGATTCGGTTGGAATCGCAGACACCGCCTGATAGTCCGCAGTGGCGGGGGTGAGGTGTGTGGTTTTGTATGGTGATTTATGGTGACTGGTGGGCTTGACGACTTATGTTTTGATGTGTGAATGTCTTGATGTGGCGTCTGGGTACGCAAAAGTTTTGCTTGTTTTAATACCTGTATTAATAATTTTACTTTATCGGTCATGAATTGGTTGAGTTTTCTATTAATTTGATATAATTACCTATGTCAGTTTGAGATTTCTGTTAACGAGAATTGTTGTTCGTAAAATGTCAATAAAGTCCGTGGATATATATCCCAAGAGCAGCACCACCATTCCTACATTGAATTCAACATCTTACACAGAAAGATTGGAAAAGACCCAAAACAGCAGAAAGTAAGATGATTATGTTATTAATTTCATATCTCATTATTGATAATAGTGCTGGACATACATACAGGCCCCAATGCTCCAGTAAACATCTCTACTACCTAGCTCCAGGGCGAAAACTTGGACCGATGTAGTAGATATCTGCTGGTCTGCAAGCTGTACCTATCTTCGCCCCCAGCCTTGTTAAAATGGCCGCATTGCCCGGGTTGCAAGTGAGAGGTGTATTGCCAAGTCAATTGAAGTCTCACGCTGAACGGAAATTTTCAGAGGGCAGCAAGACCGCCACAGACCTCGCAAGTCCACATAGTCCTGGTTCCGGCAGCGGTGGCATAATGTGGCGTGTAGGTGTAGTAGCGAAGAACTGCGATGTTGGACGTCAACACGAGGGGGGACGTCACCCCTTCATGATAGCCTTGTCCCAGACCTTGTGTAAGACATCTGGACCAAATGACCCAAAGTTCATCCGTAGACTCTGACGGTACCTTAAAAACAACAGTCAGCACAAGTACCAACCTCAAAAACACAACAGTCACTTACCATCAGAGCACCCAGCAGCCCAATCCCCCACACCCTCATTCCACGACACACAACTAACAGCCTTAACCTTCTCCCCAACAGGCACAGTAGCAATAACCTCCCCTTTAACAACATCCCACGCAAATGCCGCAGCGCCAGCTGGGCCCCCCTCCACCCGCAATCCCCTCCTCACTCCCACTCAGCACAACCGCATCCCCCATCGCAAAGACAGAACGCACCCGCAGCTCCGCATTCCGATACGAATGCCGCGGCTTCCCAATCCCACCCGACACTGTCTCCTCCCCCCAAACGCATTAAGAACCTTCCCATCCATCCGGTCCAGCAAGCGGATATACCCATCCAGCGTCGAAGCCAGCAGCGCATTCCCGTCGCTCGAGCAGCGCACGCTCGTTACCGGGTGCGCGAGGACGTCGACGGTCGTCTTTCCGGTGCGCACATCGTAGATCCGTGCGTGGCCGTCGTAGCTCCCGCTTGCTATCGAGTAGCTTCCCATGTGCACGTGTAGTGTTGAGACTGTGTCAGTTGCTTCTGTGAGGGTTTGGATGGGTTTGTAGCTTGTGGAGCGGGTGTCCCAGAGGTTTATTGTTGTGTCTGCGCTGCCTGGTAGGAGGGAGGATGTTAGTTTTGGATGTTGGGGTGGGAAGGGAAGAGAAGAGTGTGGGGGTTCGGTTTACCGGTTACTACGACTGAGTCGCCATCGCCGGCAAATTGCACGGCTTCGACTCGGCTGTTGTGGCCCGACCATCGTTTGGTCGTGATGCCTTGCTCGACATCCCAGAGGAAGACTTGGCGATCGCCTCCTACGCTGGCGAAGCGCGCGTTGTCGGCTGCGACGGCGATGTCCAGGACGGAGTAGCCATGCGCTTCGTATTTTTGGATAGGGGTTGTGGTCTCGACTGCGATCGGGCTATTGGAGGCGTTGTTGGGAACTGCGCGCGAGAGGTGGACTGCTCGGTCTGAGGAGCCTGTGAGGACGTAGGTGCCGCCGGAGCTTGAGAAGGTTACCGCGTTGACGGGACCTAGAAGAATGTTAGCGCTTTGGGTTTGGAGGGGGTTTGGGGCTGGGCGGGCGCCTGGATATTGTGAGCGTACCATTGTGTGTTTTTAGAGTGTGGATATGCCTGGTTGGGAATATTGTCCGGGGCATGGCCGTCGAGTTGGTGGAAAGAAGGAATTGGCGGAGTGTAGAGGATGCGGGATGGAGCTCGGAGCTTCAACTTCGAAGTACGTAGTCCACTTGGGAGGACCGGAGTGAACACAAACAGAAATTACTACTTTACTTTGAATCTATAAGCCCACAAGAATTATTTCTGTATTTCATACGGAATACAGAAGAAGATATTATCAAGGTTGTAGACACACCATCGCTAGCTACCAGCGGTAAATGGATATAACAAACAAAACGAACCAAGCCCTCAGACAAAGGTGCTTCCAAGCGCGAACGGCAAGACATAGGGTACTCAAAAGAGAACAAAAAACAAGAGCATGGTTTGACTACTCCCCTTTTGAACGATCCGGGTCGAATCCCGGCAAAATTGCAACATCTTAACGACGTCCGTGGCTGCGGGTGCCGGAACCCTGCAGACCCTCGATCTCCTGCTCGAGGGATTTGATACTGTGATAGGTTAGCAATAAATCCACTTGAACAATACTCCGAAACATACGCTGCATGGGTGGCCTCAAGATCCTTGTTGAGGCGGTCGCGCTCTGAGATGAGCTTCTGTTCCCACTGGCGGAAACGCTGCTCCTCGACCTTGACCTGCTCAGTGAAGCGCTTGCGCAGAGTCTCTTCTTCCTCCTTGAACTTGGGATTGTCGAGTTTGCGTGGCCGGGCCTCGCCAAACTTGCGGGTCTCCATCTGCTGGGCACGGTATGCCTCGTAGTGCGATTCTTCCGTGGTGTGAATAAGGTCGAGCATGTGGGTGCGGATCAGGATCGAGCGGAGCTTCTTGAAGTCGCAGTGGTCCTCGTTCTCTACCTCGGCGACACCCCAAGCGTATTGACGACCCTTGACAACACGGCCATCGTTGGCCTTGACGTCCTTCTCGGAACCGATAACGGCGAAAGGCATGGCAGCCATGAGGCTGCGGGCGTGGGAAGCAGCGTGCTCGTCGTCCTCCTCGACGGGCGGGGAGTAAATCTTGATGCCCTGGGCCTCAATCACAGCGCGGATCTAATCAATTGTTAGATCGGATTCTTGACTCTCCTCGTGTACTCGTTCCACTCACTCTATCCTTGTAGCGCACCAGATCCGCGTGGCTCAGGGTATCAGCCTTGGCAACCACGGGAATCAGGTTGACACGGGAGCTCAGGCGCTTCATCACCTCGATATCGAGAGGCTTCAGGGTGTGTCCGGTGGGGCGGATGAAGTACAAGCAGGCGTGAACACGCATGTCGATCTTGTCAGTTCGGCGGGGCTGCTGCTCCTGGAGCATGTACGACTCGTGCTGGTCATCCAGGAACTCGATAATGGGCTGCCATGAATCACGGTTGTTCACGTAGTCTCCGAAGCCAGGGGTATCAATGACAGTAAGGCGGACTAGAAAATCGATGACTTGTCAGCTATCGAAACGCGGAAGTCGAAACCCCTCCCCCAACACTAGAGTATCTGGGTCGCACCTTTGAAGAACTTCTCCTCGAGCTCAGCCTTGGTAATCTCAATCTCCACGGTTCGGTCGACCTGCTTCTGGTGGCGGCGCTTGTGATCGGCATAGTTCTTAATGGTGGTGGAGAAAAGGGTGTTGATGAAGGTCGTCTTTCCCAATCCCGACTCTCCGGCAACCTGATCGAAGCACCATTAGCATCAACACGCGCGGATCATTTCCCTCGGAATGTGAAACACACCATAATAGTGAAGGCTGCACCCCGCTTCGCGACAATCTTGTGACTATACAAGCTTGATTAGAATCTTTCCTCGTATCCACCGTAATCATTCGAAGGTACACACCGCTGGTTGGGGAGCTATATCAAAGATGGCGAGTTAGCTTTAAGATATCACAAGGGAGATGCTGGCGTTCCGAATAGCTTACGTTGGCAATGCCAATCGGCGTGGCGGTCTCTGAGGTCGACATGGTGGGTTATAGGGGGGATTAAAAACAATTCGGAATCAACACAAAAAAGAAGATGAAGAAGAGACCCCTGGTGTAGAGTAAGACCGGAATTGAGAAGAGAAAATAAGTCGACTCCTGAGGAGAAAAAAAAGGGAAAAGGAGGAACGAATGTGAAATCGGATCTCTCTCGAACTGCCCGTCGCTGCTTCCCCCTGAATCTCCTTTCGTTTTCTGGAGTATACCTCACCTTGCCTATCTGGGTTTAGCGTAAGGGGCTAGGACTGATTGGGCTCGGAACAGGAGCATGGATGATCCGAAGGCTCTTATCACGGTAGCTGGTGGAATTATCTCTAATTTTTTGATCTTTGAGATCGCCGACAGCCAAAATGAAGACAGACTTCAAGGTACGTACTATGCTTGGATTCTTGATCGCATGCAATTGCCAGAAAGCCCTGATTATTAAGTTTGGAACTAACATCCTCAATTTTAGTTCTCCAACCTTTTGGGGACGGTATATCGCAAAGGAAATCTTCTCTTTACTCCCGATGGCACATGCTTGCTTTCGCCAGTAGGCAATCGAGTCTCGGTCTTTGATCTGGTACAGTATGTGTCGCCTGATGGTCCTTCCTTTGGTGATTTGGAAACCAGCCCGCTCACAATTGCTTCTATAGAAATACTTCTTATACCCTGCCTTTTTCGCACCGTACAAACATCGACCGTCTCGATCTTTCGCCCAAGGGTAATCTTCTGTTGACCGTGGATGAAAATGGTCGCGCAATCTTGACCAATTTCCAACGTCGCATCGCCATTCACCATTTTTCCTTCAAAGGACGAGTGTCCGCACTCAAGTTCTCCCCGTCCGGCCGACACTTCGCCGTTGGCGTGGGCAGACGCCTGCAGATCTGGCAGACACCCTCTACCCCTGGCACCGAGACCAATGGCGAGATTGAATTTGCACCCTTTGTTCTACACCGGGATCTTGCTGCCCACTTTGACAACATCGAAAGTGTCGAATGGTCCAGCGATTCGCGCTTCTTGCTCACTGCCGCCAAAGATTTGACCGCGCGAGTATGGAGCATGGATCCGGAAGAAGGTTTCGAGCCGACCACTTTGGCGGGACACAGACAGGGTGTGGTGGCTGCCTATTTCAATGCGACACAAGAAGTGGTAGGTGCTTACTGGAAATTGGTTCACCTGAGCCTCGAGAAATACCATACTAATTCTTATCCATAGATTTACACTGTCAGCCAAGATGGCGCACTCTTCCGTTGGGAGTATGTCACGAAAAAAGACGAGGAAACGATGGAAGACATTTCCGATGCCCGATGGAGGATCGTCAAAAAGGATTTCTTCCTGCAGAACGACGCAAAGGTTAACTGTGCTGCGTTCCATGCGCCGACCAACCTTCTGGTGGTAGGGTTTTCCAATGGTCTATTCGGGCTCTATGACCTGCCAGAGTTCAACATGATCCATCAATTGAGGTACATCAGTCTGTGACACCGTCCTTTTTACAGTGGCTAACATATCCCCCTCTAGTGTCTCCCAGAGCAATATCGATGTTGTGACAATCAACAAATCAGGCGAGTGGCTAGCATTCGGATCGTCTAAGCACGGTCAGTTGCTGGTGTGGGAATGGCAGTCCGAGTCCTATATCCTCAAACAACAAGGTCACCTTGATTCTATGAACGCTCTCGCATATTCACCGGACGGTCAGAGAATTGTTACGGCTGCCGATGACGGTAAAATCAAGGTTTGGGATGTCAAATCAGGCTTCTGCATTGTCACATTTACGGAACACACCAGTGGAGTGACCGCATGTCAGTTTGCGAAGAAGGGAAGTGTGTTGTTCACAGCATCTTTGGACGGTTCTATCCGTGCATGGGATCTTATTCGCTACCGTAACTTCCGAACCTTCACAGCGCCATCCCGCCTGTCATTCTCCTCGTTGGCCGTGGACCCCAGTGGTGAAGTGATCTGTGCCGGTTCACCGGACTCCTTCGACATCCACGTATGGTCCGTGCAGACCGGTCAATTGCTTGACCAGCTTTCCGGCCACGAGGGTCCGGTTTCGAGTCTTGCTTTCGCTGCCGATGGCAATCACCTTGTCAGTGGAAGTTGGGATCACACAGTTCGCATTTGGAGCATCTTCGGCCGGTCACAGACCAGTGAACCTCTCCAGCTCATGTCAGACATTCTCAGTGTGGCTTTCCGCCCAGATGGGCAACAAGTCGCCGCATCTACCCTAGACGGTCAACTTTCCTTCTGGTCTGTTGAAGATGCTGTGCAGCAAGGAGGAGTTGACGGTCGCCGTGACGTCTCTGGAGGACGCCGAGTGGCTGACCGCCGTACTGCTGCCAATGCCGCAGGCACCAAGTCTTTCAACCGAATCACATACAGCGCAGACGGTAGCTGCATTCTGGCCGGTGGCAACAGCAAGTATATCTGCTTGTATGATGTCGGAACAGGGTCATTGATCAAGAAGTTCACCGTCTCCGTCAACACCTCGATCGATGGTACACAGGAGTTCCTGAGCAGTCGTGACATGACTGAAGCTGGTCCCCGTGCTCTTATTGACGAGACCGGTGAAGCGTCTGATCACGACGATCGTGTTGATAGCACTCTTCCTGGCGCGCGACGCGGTGATGCCGGCGCGCGCACCACACGCCCAGAAGTCCGCGTGACATCAGTGGATTTCGCACCGACTGGACGAGCATTCTGTGCCGCCTCTACCGAAGGTCTCCTTGTTTACAGCTTGGATACTGATTTCATCTTTGATCCCTATGATCTGGACATCACAATCACACCATCAAGCATCATTGCCACACTAGATGCTGCCAAGGCAGCCGCCACATCCGACACCGTGGACGAGGAGAATACCTTCCTCAAAGCTCTTATCATGGCCTTCCGATTGAATGAACAAAAGCTACTTCGTGTCGTATATGAAGCGATCCCTCCGTCAGATATTCCCCATGTGGTTCGGTCCGTGCCCTCCGTCTATTTACCTCGCCTTCTCCGATTTGTTGCACATGCCGCCGAAGAAACTCCCCATCTTGAGTTCAACCTCATGTGGATTGAGTCTTTATTCAGCAGCCATGGT